AATGTCAAAACTCAAGGCAGATACAACCAAATAGAAAAAAATGAAAAATTCAAAGAAATCAAAATAAACACCTGAAAAAAAATTGAGAGTCTTATTAGGAAAATTAAAAAATATAATAATATACTAGGACGATATATGTGTATGGGCAAAAACTAAAAAAGAATTAAAATATAAAACAAAGCAAATTTTAGTGAGATTAAAAAAAAAGGCAGGCATGACTGTAAACAAAAACAAATGTAATTTTGACTGTAAGAAGATATCATATTTAAGATATCAATTATCAAAAGAAAGCATATCACTCGACGATAGATAGACTAACAAAGAAAATAACTGAAATAGCTGCTACAACAAATAAAAAAAGAATTAGAATCCTTTTGGGAGCTAATAAATTTTTATAGTAAATACATACAAAAATACAGCGACAAAATAGAGCCATTTGCAAAATGCAACCCCCCCCCCAAAAAAAACAGTGAATTTAACTGGACACAGAAGCAAACTATCGCTTTTGAAACATTAAAGAAAATACTGAGAAACAAACCAATAATAAAAGTTTTGATCCAAAAAAGAAATAATGTTAACCACAGATGTGAGTGAAAACGCGATTGCTGCTATTCTATCACAAAAAGAACACCCAATCATGTATATATCAAGAATGTTAACATCAGAAGAAACTAACTACTCGAATATTGAAAAAGAAGCACTAGCGATTGTATGGAACATGGAAAGGGCACAAACTTTTTGATAGGAAAAAATTCTTATTAAAATCGGACCACAAACCATTAGAATTTATATTTAACCAGAGAAAAGAATTGCCAAAAAGTCATATTGCCAAAGAATTTTAAGATGGGCAATAAAAATCATGGCATTCGATTTTGACATAGTATACGTAAAAGGAACACTATTCCTCATGCTTTATCAAGATTACAGTTCAAGAATGAAACAGAAGAAAAACATGAAGATAAAATAATACACTGGATAGAAACAGATGTTCTTCCTCTAAATAGACTCAAAATAGAAACAAAACAAAACCCAATAGAATAGTAGAGAAATAAAAAATAATTTATAGAGCAATTGTTTGATGGCAGAACGACCCTTTAAAAGAAACAAAGCATGAACTAACCATAGAAAAAGACATAATATGCAATGGGGATATAATAGTAGCTCCACAAATACTGAGAATGGACATATTAAAAGAAGTACATGATGACGTGCATTGTGGCATAACAGCAACACAAAGAAGACTGAAGTTAGTCTGATGGCCAGGATATTCAAACATGTAGAGGAATACATTAAGAGATGCCCAAAATATGCAGAAATAAAAAACAAAAACAAAAAAAAACTTCAAACAAGCAAAATTCACTCATGACCCAAGAGGGCAGATCCATGGGTTAGGGTCCCAAGATCAATATCAAAGATAGGGAATTGTTTTTTAGTATTAGTGGAATCATATTCAGGCCCAGAGGTTGACAGAAAAAGCCACCAGGGTTATTCTATAGTTAATAGACTCTCCCACCTAATATAAGTAGGAGTAGTAAGAGAAACGATCTCGGACGACCGGCTGAACGGTTGATCTCTGCCTTCGGGCGGGGATAAACGATTTATTTCAAAATATTTTTTTGGACTCCCATAAACCGGCCTTTTTGCAGGATACCCTCATAAGTTGTCGATGTCGGACGACAATAAAAGTTACACGAAAAAGTCACCACCATAAAAGATTACTCTGCGTAATAACTATTATATCAAGTTCCTAACGTTTTGTACATCGAACCTTATTTAGGACCGATTTAGTACAAATACAAGCCTCCACTGCGAAATAACCCCACAACAAGGAATGGAGCACCCCAGACAATAATCACCGACAATGCACACGAATTTTGCGATGAGGACTTATGCACGTGGTTAAAACAGATTGGATGCATCCCATCACACGACACCACAATAACACTTACAATCTAATGGCATTGCGGAAAGAATGGTACAAAAGGTAAAAATGGGATTAAAAGCATTCTCACCGCTTAATGAAAGCATAGAAGCGTATCTACCAAAAATGCTGCACAATTATAGATCCATTCCACATGCGGGAAGAAAAATTAGCCAGTCGGCATTAATGGGAAGACAAATCAAAGCTACTATAACTATGTCCTTAGCAAAAAAGAAAAGGTATGATATAGAGAGAATAAAGAGGCTAATCCAGAAGAAGCAAATTTCCTGATACAAAAAAAGAAACATCACGACTATACTTGAGAAAAAAGAGACAACATATACTGGCACATGCAGATCAGTTCAGAAGCAAAAACGAACTGGATGACGTAGAAATAGAAAATCAAGAACAAGAAGAGACAAAAAGTTACAAAAGTGGAACAGAGAAAGAAATGGAAGAAAGTGAGAATGAAAAGACAGACGAATATGAAGAAGAAAATGAAGAGAGACTGAGATAACCATTAAAGAGAAAACAAGAAAGTCAAGAGGAAGGACAACACAATATGAAAATAAGCAGGAATAGTAAAAGAAAAAAACAAGGGTATACAACCCCTCCGATTCAGGGAGGTGTAGTATCGTATGCAAATTAGATAGACAAGTATAAATAGAAAACAACTGGCGAATATAGGAGAGCTATGTCTAGCAAACCCGGTTGCTATTCAGGAAACGTAGAACTGTACTACGACTACTACTACGCAGAACATAACAATTATAATTAAAACTTGTATTTTTTTTTAAGTGTCATAAAAAGAAGAAGAGAAATTATCATAGTATAGTAAGTTTATCTGGAGTCATCACAAAATAAATATGTAAACAAGTCGGTGCAGTTGTCAGAAACCATTGCCCGCCCGTCAAATGGTACGACGGAATATCCGTACAACATACATAGAAAGGACCATCAATCATATGATTCTAGGTACCGCCATGGACTTCCTTAAAAACTCGAAAAACGCATTTTAAATAATTTAAATGTCTTCGTTGAAATTAAATTTTGGTTTTATTTTTATTTAAAATAGTCCTAAGCTAGTTCATATTAAAAGGAAAATTAATTTCTGTATGTAAATAATGTTTTAGGCATTTTTAAAGTATTGTTACGTTCACTCTTCAATCATGGAACAGCTAAAAAATCAAAATCAAAATCGACTACTCAAACTGGCATTATAGACGAAAAAATGTAATCAAAAAAATTTAGAAATCTATTACAAATCTCTCCTAGAGATGTATTTCAAAGTCACTTATTAAATTTTAAGGATTAATTAACTGGATGTTGTAAAAGTAGTGATTACTTTTTACTTACAACGTAATGGAAATAACTTTTATTTATGCGCAGTAGAAAACATCAAAACAGAAACTGTATAATTTCACACCTGACTTAAAAAACGGATGACAAATAAAAAAAATTAAGTTAAAGAAATACGGAACACCAACAGTGCAATAATGAAGAAATTGGTATTTATGTTTAAAAATAAATTTAAGTTATGGAATTATCATATATTATGTTATTCTTCCGACAAGGAAAGGTAGTCAAAAATGGTAATTCAGAATTATTCAGGAGATCTATAAAAAAAACAGTTGCTAAAACGAAAAAAAAACAGTTGCTAAAACGAAAAAAACAAAAAATTTTAAGAAAAAGTTCATACTTTTTTGATTCTTCAAACGTCTCTTTAACAATCAACTTTTTTTTACGAACAGCTACGGGGTGTATTTCAAAATCGCACTGAAAAATTACAAGTAATTTTTAAAAAATTAAGTGTAAATTTTTTTCTCTCCAGTCTGAAAGAAAATAACGTGTTTTATTAAATTATGCAAGTATCAACTCCCCCCAAAAATGTATTTTTTGAGTTTTATTGAATTCATTTTTTTTGTAATGTTTGGGACGAATGTATAATTTTTTTACTGAAATAACATCCCCAGGAATTTTTCTTTATATAACTGTAAAAAAACAAAATTCTCGAACTCCCACCCCAAATTAAAAATTACACACGAGTGAAACAGACCCTCAAAAATATTTCCATAAAGTTGTCTAATGAAATAACCATTCAATATACAATAAGTACTGAAAATTTAATTTGAATCGAATAATTCTTTGACTTTTTGGCAATTTTTTTTAAAAACGGGGGTTAGCGAATTTTTGTTTTCATTTCGGAAAACGCATGCATTTTCGTGATACTTGAGTAATTCATTGTCTGCACGTCGCCTAATAGTTTGCCGGTTCATCTCAGTTATGTGCCATGCGTGTATCACGCAGAGTACATAACTTTCGATACATGACTGACGAAGCAGATTTTTTCCCGCAATAGCTTGCCATTTCGTTCTGCGGTAGACCAGTTGCCATTCAAAGCTATAGAACCCGGTCTGTCCTGCTATTTACTCATAGCCGGGAGGCGAGGGAGAAAAAGAGGATTCATACCTTTCCCAAGGGTATTAGAACGTAAGTGAAAGTAATCGATTCAACTGGAATTCTAAATCGGCTCTCCGATTCCTCAATCCGAGCCGCTATCCATTACACAACCGCGCCTCCGGTTCATCGAGTGAAATTAAAAAAGGGACACTGTGTAACACTAACAGATTAAAAAAAAAATCAAAAACAAAAAAAAAAGTACCAATGTCAAGAACTGAATGCTAAATAAACGATGTCTGGTTTGTTGAATGACGAGCAGGAAGTTTTCATCTTCATGAGATTCAAAGAAATTTAATTTCATCGCTTTTATCAGAAGATTCTTGTGGAGGCAACAGTCTACGTAACCTCATCACTCAAGAAAAAGGATTGATGACACTTGTGTATCTGTTGCGGGGCCGAAAAGGAATGTCGTCCCTGCAAGTTTTTAACGAAGAAAGATGTGAACAGCTAAAACAATGAGGAACAAAGGCAGAGGTTTAGAATAACAAACGTCGGATTCATTTGTCGATCTGGGCAAATGTAGGTACAGGAATTGTTTGGCGTAGTTCGATCGTGAAGTCAGGGAGTGCCAGTTGAAGGATCGTTGTTAGGGTTCAAGGCGGCAGCTCTGAGGCAGGCAATGGAACAGCGGTATTCGAGGTCCCGTCCATCCCCGGATGTCTGCCCTTTAGTAAAAAGCGCGTCGGCGTTTAAGAAGAGAGAGGATTGGCGCAGACGGTGCTGGTGTAGCCTGTTCGTCCTTAGAATGACAGTCGTGTAAGAACGCAGCTTGGTAGTCCTAAAAAACAAAGGACTTTCGCATATAATGTGGCTAGATTAGTCCTAAAAAGAACTGTCGCATATCATGTAGGCAGGCTAGCCCTGAAAAGGAATATCGCATATCATGTTCGGCTGCTGATGATGTCGGGTCGAGGTTAGTCCTGAAAAGGACTAACGCATATCATGTGGCCAGGTTAGTCCTGAAAAGGACTGTCGCATATAATGTGGACAGGTTACTCCTAAAAAGGACTATCGCATATAATGTTCGGCTGCTGCTGCTGAAGTTGGGTCGGCCCGCTGCTGCTGCTGAAGTTGGGTCGGTCCGCTGCTGCTGCTGCTGAGGTTGGCTGCTTCGTGCGGTCAGCGGCGAGGATCGGCTAGGTGAAGGTGAGAGGAGGAGAACGTCGCTCTACCCCGGGTCCAAATCAGCCGAGTTCCAAGTGATATTTAGCTACCCCAAACACGAGGGTTACATATGGCACAAAGCCGGGTTTAACGTAGGATTTCCGAGCCCGCAGGGTCGGCCAAAAATATTCCCTCTTTGAACACGCATAAACGGGTTCAGGGGCAGTCAACCACCCCGAACGAGACTCCGCCCATCAGCGGGCCGACTTCCAAGTGATATTTAGCTACCCTCCACGAGGGTTACATGTGGCACAAAGATGGGTTTGACGTGGGATTTCCGAGCCCGTAAGCTCGGCCAAAAATATTCACTCTTTAAACCCGCATAAACGGGGCAGGGGCAGTCAACCACCCCGAACGAAACTCTGCCCTTCGGCGGAGTCTCGTCCTGGTTCCTCCCAGCCCGAAATCAGAGAGTTAGACTGTTACTTAGCCCGGAGCCAAGCCGAGTTCCAAATGATATTTAGCTACCCCCCCACGAGGGTTACATGTGGCACAAGGCCAGGTTTAACGTGGGATTTCCGATCCCGTAAGCCCGGCCAAAAATATTCACTCTTTGACCACGCATATACGGGGCAGGGGCAGCCAACCACCCCGAACGAGACTCTGCCCTTCGGCGGAGCCACGTCCTGGTTCCTCTCCGCCCGAAAGCAGAGAGTTAGGCTGTTACTTACTCCGGAGCCAAGCCGAGTTCCAAGTGATATTTAACTACCTCCCCACGAGGGTTACATGTGGCACAAGGCCGGGTTTAATGTGGGAGTTCCGAGCCCGTAAACTCGGCCAAAAATATTCATTCTTTGAATCCTCATAAACATGTTCAGGGACAGTCAACCACCCCGAACGAAACTCTGCCCTTTGGCGGAGCCTCGTCCTGGATCTCTCCGCCCGAAAGCAAAGAGTTAGACTGTTACGTAGCCCGGAGACTAGCCGACTTCCAAGTGATATTTAGCTACACCCCCACGAGGGTTACATGTGGCACAAGGAGGGGTTTAACGTGGGATTTCCGAGGCCATCAGCTCGGTCAAAAATATTCACTCTTTGAACCGACATAAACGGGTTCCGGGACAATCAACCACTCCGAACGAGGCTCTGCCCTTCGGCGGAGCCTCGTCCTGATTCCTCTCCGCCCGAACGCAGTGAGTTAGACTGTTAATTAGTCCGGAGCCAAGCTGTGTTCCAAGTGATATTTAGCTACACCCCCACGAGGGTTACATGTGGCACAAGGACGGGTTTAACGTGGGATTTCCGATCCCGTAAACTCGGCCAAAAATATTCACTTTTTGAACCCGCATAAACGGGGCAGGGCAGTCAACCACCCCGAACGAGACTCTGCCCTTCGAAGGTGCCTCGTCCTGGTTCCTCTCCGCCCGAAAGCAGTGAGTTAGACTGTTAATTAACCCGGAGCCAAGCCGTGTTCCAAGTGATATTTAGCTACCCCCACGAGGGTTACATGTGGCACAAGGCCGGATTTAACGTGGGATTTCCGAGTCCGTAAGCTCGGCCAAAAATATTCACTATTTCAACCTGCATAAACGGGTTCAGGGACAGTCAACCACCCCGAACGAGACTCTGCCCTTCGGCGGAGCCTCGTCCTGGTTCCTCTCCGCCCGAAAGCAGAGAGTTAGACTGTTAATTAGTCCGGAGCAAAGCCGAATTCCAAGTGATATTTTGCAAAGAGGGTTACATGTGGCACAAGGCCGGGTTTAACGTGGGATTTCCGAGGCCATCAGCGCGGCCAAAAATATTCACTCTTTGAACCGACATAAAACGGGTTCCGGGACAATCAACCACTCCGAACGAGGCTCTGCCCTTCGGCGGAGCCTCGTCCTGGTTCCTCTCCCCCCGAAAGCAGAGAATTAGACTGTTAATTAGCCCGGAGCCAAGCCGTGTTTCCAGTGATATTTAGCTACCCCCACCCCCAACGAGGGATTACATGTGGCACAAGGCCGAGTTTAACGTGGGATTTCCGATCCCGTAAACTCGGCCAAAAATATTCACTCTTTGACCACGCATATACGGGGCAGGGGCAGCCAACCACCCCGAACGAGACTCTGCCCTTCGGCGGAGCCTCGTCCTGGTTCCTCACCGCCCCAAAGCAGAGAGTTAGTCTGTTACTTAGCCCGGATCCAAGCCGAGTTCAAACTGATATATATCTACCTCCCCCACGAGGGTTACATGTGGCACAAGGCCGGGTTTAACGTGGGATTTCCGAGCCCGTAAACTCGGCCAAAAATATTTACTCTTTGAACCGACATAAGCAGGTTCCGGGACACTCAACCACGGGCGAATCAGAGGAACGTCGGTTGCACGATTTGTTTAACAACCTTCATTTGGGACACTATAAACCTTCCAAATTGCTTAGAAAGATGAAAGCTTTACTAGGTGACAATACCATGTCTGACACAGTCCTCCGTAAACTATGGATGGATAAACTGAGCCCACAAACATCACAAATATTAGTGTCACTCCCGGACGATTTGAACCTACAGCAATTGGCAGAAATCGCGGACAAAATATATGAGAATAAACCTCCGGGAACTGCTTCTGCGACACCACTACAACCTATTGTCTCTTCAGTCCGTGACTCACAAGAGTTATCGAAAATTAAAGATTGTATAGCCGAGCTTACCTCACAGTTACAAGCTCTACAAACCGCTATGCATCAGCAAAATCGCACACCCAACAATTTCACTAGTCGACCACGTCCATCACATCATACTAGGCGAAGATCACGTTCCACATCCAGAAGCAGGCCTATATTTAATACCTGTTGGTATCATTTTAAATATGGACAACAAGCGCGGCATTGTACGAAACCATGTAACTTCGACATAAACGCAGCTAAGGATAACAACACACAGCAGTCGGGAAACGACTATCCCGGCAACAAGTAGAGACGTTTGCTGCCGGAGGATGCCAAAAAAGTCGTTTCTTTTTACATCCGAGATGAGAACTCCGGCTACTTGTTTTTAGTGGACACTGGGGCACAAATTAGTGTAATACCAGCCAAGCCTAATATGTTGACTAGAAAGACAAATTATACGTTACAAGCGGCGAATGGATCTTCAATCCAGTCATATGGTGAAACCTCTTTAACCCTAAATCTGGGATTTAGGCGATCTTTTCCGTGGGTATTCACGATAGCCCAAGTTCGAACCCCAATCCTAGGAGCGGATTTCCTCGCCCACTTTAACTTGTCCGTTAATATGTCTTCCCTTTCTTTGGAGGATAAAACGACCAACATTACAAGGAAAGGAATTACATCTATTTATAGGAGCACATGTATCAGTGCAACTCTACCTGAAGCCAACGGAATGCAGGATCTGTTACAAAAATATTCTCAAATTACAACACCATTCCGGTATACAGAAACCGTTCGTCACAATGCTGAGCACCACATTGATACTACGGGCCCACCCACGCATTCATCTCCACGGCGATTGAGGCCTGATAAATATAAACTGGCGAAAGACGAGTTTCAGCACATGCTGGACCTCGGTATAATTAAACCTTCTTCGAGTCCTTACTCATCTCCTCTTCATATGGTTCCAAAACCGGACTCAGGAGCTTGGAGACCTTGTGGCGACTTCCGGAAGCTGAATGCTACTACAATTCCGGATAAATACCCCATCCCGCACTTGCACGATTTTCGCAGTGGGTCTGCAGGGCGCCACAGTCTTCACCAAACTTGATCTGGTGAAAGCATTCCACCAGATACCAGCGGCCAAGGAAGACATCCATAAAACAGCAATAACTACTCCTTTTGGCTTATACGAATTTTTGAGAATGCCATTTGGTTTAAGGAACGCTGCACAATCTTTCCAACGGCTTATAGACGAAGTGCTGAGAGGTTTACCTTTCACCTTTGCTTATATTGATGACGTCCTGATCGCCAGTATTTTTTTTAAATCTTAAATTTTGTGCAAGTTAAACATATAGAGGCTCCCAGCCAAATATAACAACTGATGTATTTTGATTGGTTGTAAAATATTAATTAGGTGTCGTCAACTACGTCCGAAGGTACCGACCCAAATTTTGACCTCTAGTTGACGCCATAAAATGTAAACATGTTTACGAGCCTCCCCACGTGACCAAGAGAACTAATAAAAACGAAACTTCGACGCGACTTGGTCAGTGGGCACTTAAAATATTGGACCAATTCACTTGACTTCATTGGAAATCAACACAGCAAAGGAGACGAACTTTATCTTCAATACAACAAACTTTGTCAACCATCTCCAGGCTTAACGCTCACTCCCACAAAATATTCCATTCCACAAGAATCTCTGGTTAATGAGCGATAACAATCAGTGAGTCAAGAACAATACTTTTTTTCTATCTAATACAAAAAAAAAAAACATCTTTTTAATTTTCCTATAAAAACAAATATAGCTAACTAAACCTTGTCATTTTCACACATACAGTACAGTAGCTCAAATACTTTCAGTAACACACACACCAAAGAACTCTATTGTGTTTATCAACTTTTGCACTATATATTATGTATTTGTTGTGTCTATAAAAAAAATATTTATTGTTGAACAAATTCACATTTTCTGCTACTTGATTATTTCTCTTGGTGTTGTCTTTGTTACATTTGATATTGTAAAAATTGTAGAGGGTCAGTTTTTATTTCTATTTATAACCAATACAAATTAGCTGCCCCACTATACCACAAAGAATATTATCACACTTTATTACAAAAAAGAAAGAGAAAAGAAAAGAAAAAAAACAATTTTTAAAATTGTAATAATCTGATATTCAAAAACCATTTACACTCGACTCCTGCTGACTTGGGATTAGTAAAATACAATTAAAGCTAAATTTCAATGTCGTTGAGTTTGATTAATTACTGGGTTGTTCCACTTATTTGTTTATTTATTTGCAATTAATTACATTATAAATAAAATACGATATGACTTGACACCGAACGAGTTTTATCTTTATTTTATTTTAAAGGATACTTTATTGCAAGTTATAAGTACTTGTACAAAAAAAAAAATGAAAATAAAGTTATTATAAATGAGTTAACATTGAAATATTTATGCTTAAAAAATGGGTTTATCAAAAGCGAGCTATTATGAAACAATACAGTATTTATTGTTGGAAAATATCTGATAGTCTGTGTGTGTGTGTGTGTGTGCCGGAGACAACAGTGTTCCTTGAGGCTGACTATTACGAAAAGAGGCAGTTATTAAAGAACACAAAAAAGATAGATTGTAGTTTATTGAACAAAAATCAAGCTTTCGTCCGCCTTTTTAGTAAAGGCAGATAACAGATCGTAATAAAGACTCTTAAAAAAGATTTACAATACAATCTTCCAATAATGGGAGGAAAAAAATCTTGAGAAGGTAATACTAAAAACTTAAATGAGGTTGAAAATATTCTTCAAAAAAGGTGCACCCACTTAATCGAAAGACGAAAAAAAAAAAGAAAAAAAGGGGCTTTGGCCTATCCATTTGCGTCACTGAGACTTTTAATAATTTTTCCTTTGTTTTAGAACACAGGTTCAATTAATTATCAACAGGTTTCATTTGATTCACTTCTTTTCTCCGTTTGCTTTTTCTGTGAGAAACAATCCAGCTAATTCACAGGGGACTAACAAAATAGCCTTTCCTTCTGGAATCTTATTCTTAAGCCTGTTGCAGCGGGCCGAGAGGTGTGAGTGCCAATCGACCGTACAACTAAAAAGGGGATTTGCTAGTCCCTCTGACGTGTTAACAGTGTGTAAGGAGCATGAATGAGAGGTCAAGGTCGAAATGACCTGTTCCTCTGCAGGTTCAAGGATAGGAGGAGGAGGTAACTCCGACAATACCTCCCACCAGATTAAAAGTTGTAATGAAATGTCAACTTTTAATATATAAGAAAAAGGGTTCATGAAAGGTTTTGATTATTGTTCTTGTGAACTGAAAAGAACAATGTGTCAGAAGTGTGGTTGAGATGCGTGATTCACGAAATGTGCTTGTATTGTCATCAGGGTGCAATTGTTGAAGAATGTTTTTTTTAAACAAACAGTGAGTCGTCCGAAAAAATAGTTTGAAGCATGGGAAGCAAGCGGTGGCGTGAAGATGTTGCCACGTGGTGTAGGAAAATGTATGCGCGCTTTTAAATGAGTTTCAGGAATGAAGAAGATGCGAAATGCTATGACCAGTAGCATGTGTTGGAAGAAAGCGGAATTTGCAATATTAATAGCGACGAATTATGTGCATGCAAATCCTCAGTGATGTCGCATCGTAATGGAACAGTGAGTCGTCCAGAGAAAGATGTAGATCCATTCCTGTGAAACTTGTGTGTCGCTTCCAAAAGTTGTTTTGAAAATAAAGGACAGTGGGTCGCCTTTAGTGGTTCGGAATCACCAATCGTATGTAGTGGAACAGTGAGTCGTCCAGTGGTTTGGGTTCACACGTTATCTGTTTCAGTCCAGAAGAGGTGTTAGTTCGTAGAAAATGGTGTTGCAGGTCTGCTGGTTGCTAAGTGTTGAATATACCTCGTTTGCGTTGTGTCGCCATATTGTCCAGCCAAATCAGATCACGTCGGGGTCACCACTTGTAGCGGGCGGTCCAGCGGCCCCGTTTCACAGAAAGGGTGAACGAGGTCACAAGAGGCCCGCTGACAGTTTTGACGCGATTAAATCTGACCGTGAAACAATATGGACGACAGAACGAGGATATATAATATATAGAGGTTTATTCTAAAAGGAAAAGGAAATGAAGATGGCCGGAAACGGTGGAGGTGCTGGATTACTGCAGGAGTGAGCCGGATGCTGCAGGAGTGCTGGATACTGCAGGAGTGAGCCGGATGCTGCAGGAGTGCTGGATACTGCAGGAGTGAGCCGGATGCTGCAGGGGTGAGCTGGATGCTGCAAGAGTGAGCTGGATGCTGCAGGCACTGATGGTCTAGGTTGGCGTTGGTAGTTGCTAGGATCATCGTTGTTGGGGGTTGAAGCTGATGTGGGTTGTTGCCAGGATAGATCGGCGTCCTTGGCCAATGAAGGCCAAGGGGCCTGCGTAGACGACCGTTGCGGCCGCCGACAGCCTCCCCAGATTCTAGGGAGAAATCACTGTCTTCTGACGAGGGGGACCAGCAAGAGAAATTGGCTAAGCTAACCGAAAAGTCTCTATAATAAAATGCTAATAGGTTAGCTAAAGATAACTATGGTCTAAAAATGACTAGAAGTATATTACAACTAGGTTTGTAATATAGCCTAACTAAAAAGGGGATTTGCTAGTCCCTCTGACGTGTTAACAGTGTGTAAGGAGCATGAATGAGAGGTCAAGGTCGAAGGTTCCTCTGCAGGTTCAAGGATAGGAGGAGGAGGTAACTCCGACAAGCCTTCAGAACGAAATTTTCATGTCTTCTTGTCTCCACGAAATTTTCGCTCCCTTCGAAAATTATTACTACCTTCTGGTCGAAAATTATATTACCTTCTGAAGTTATCCACTGACTCGTCTTCTTATATAGCTATATTATGGAAGAGACTCCAGACAGATATAATTTTACATTTACATGGGTGGTGATTAGACAATAAATACGAAGAATATACATTTAAAAAAATTTTAAAATGAATTTTGAAACAATTCGGCATAACCGAATTCTTTTCAACGGTACTTTTAGAGTCAAATATAAATTTTGTAACGCTTGGAAACAAATGCAACGCATCAAATTAAATTTTTTTATAAACCATCTGGCTTTCTTTTAAATACACTTCTCCCAAAAGTAAGCGTAAACGACAAATTTAAACTATTATTTATTTATTTATATTAATCTACAACTTTTATTAGTCATTATTCTTAATTATTTTGCAATTTTGTATTACTATGTAATAATATTTTATATTCCACCCTCAAGACAATGTGCAATAAACAAACTTAATTTATTGCAAGATTTTTTTTGATTTTTTTTGCTTTATCCTTGAAACAACATATTCATTAAAACAATATTTATTTATTTACAAATAAAGGGGATATTAATTTTCAGTTTAAATACCAAATATAACGATCTTCTGGCCAATGTTTACTGATTTTTAATGCAGTCTTTCTTTTAGACCACCTGGTATCAAAATTATTCGATAAAGAATTAATACTTTCCTTGGTCACATTTAAAGGCGAATTAAACAAGGTATGTGACTTTAATTAGCAATTTCAAACTTTTCATGAAATGTAGCACGAATGTCACTAAAGGTAACCGATATCTCATTCTCTCAAGAGCTTTTACCCTGAACATTATTTCCAGGTTATGTTCTATGAAATTTTAATGCGTTTCTGTGCAGGTACCGATTATATTGTCTAATCCGGAATAAATTTCTCGTTCGAGTACTTACCAAAAGTTTTCGAATGACCGTTGTATTCTGGAATGTCGAACTTCCTCTGAGGAGGCATGAACACCACATCTTATACACGTTTCATCCGATGCCTACAACTCTGCGTTCTTGTGATTATATTCTCCTGACTTCATATATACAAGGAACAGCTTATTGGGAAATAAGAAGGTTGTAGTAACCTGCACTTATATGCTCAGCTCACTCGATCAGCAAAATTAGCATAGACACTAACCGCTTAACAGATCATTTTTTTATCTAACCTTTCATTTTGGATTATTTTTTTTTTTTTTTTACATTTAGGAGTATCATTTTCATTTTTCATGTTGGACTATTATTTTTTATCTTGTTTTGTATGCAATATACAATTCCTGA